TTAGCTGTAGCTTAGCGTTAGCTTAGCTTTAGCTTAGATTTAGCTTAGCTTTAGCTTTGGCTTAGCTTTAGTTTTAGCGTAGCTTTAGCTTAGCTTTAGCTTAGCTTTAGCTTGGCTTTAGCTTAGCTGCAGCTTAGCTTCAGCTTAGCTTTAGCTTGGATTTAGCTTAGCTTTAGCTTAGCTTTAGTTTAGTTTGATCTTAGATGTTGCTTAGCTGTTGCTTAGCGTTAGCTTAACATCAGCTTAGCTTTAGCTTAGCTGTAGCTTAGTTTTAGCTTAGCTTTAGCTTAGCTGTAGCTTAGCTTTAGTTTAGCGTTAGCTCATATTTAGCTTAGCTTTAGCTTAGCTTTAGCTTAGCTTCAGCTTAGCTTTAGCTCAGCTGTAGCTTAGCTTTAGCTTAGCTTTAGCTTAGCTGTAGCTTAACTCAAGCTTTGCTTTTTTTTCGGGGCTTTAGCTAAGCTTTAGCTGAGCTTTAGTTTAGCTGTAGTTTAGCTGTAGCTTAGCTTCAGCTTAGCTTTAGCTTATATTTAGCTAAGCTGATGTTTAGCTTTACCTTAACTTTACCTTATATTTAGCTTAGCTTCAGCTTAGCTTCAGCTTAGCTTCAGCTTAGCTTTAGCTTATCTTCTAGCTTAGCATCAACATAGCTCCAGCTTAGCTTTAGCTTAGCTTTAGCTTAGCTTTAGCCGAGCTTTAGCTTAGCTTCAGCTAGCGTTAGCTTAGTTCAAGCTTAGTTTTACTGTTGCTACTAATGCTGCTTTCCTAGGTGCTCCAACTCCTAGGTAGGGTCGCACTGGGATATTTGTTTTATCCTGTTTGGGGTATCTTTTATTTTTCGTCGAAGATACCCCTGTCCCTACAGGGGGATTTCCGACGGAAAATTAAACATACCCCAAGAATAGTAAAACAATTATCCCAGTGCGACCCTACCTAGGCGTTGGAGCCCCTAGGAAAGCAGCATTAGTAGTAACAGTAAAGCTAAACTAGCTAAGCTAAAGCTAAGCTAAAGCTAAGCTAAAGCTAAGCTAAAGCTAAGCTAAAGCTAAGCTAAAGCTAAGCTCAAGCTAAGCTACAGCTAAGCTAAAGCTAAGCTAAAGCTGAGCTAAAGCTAAGCTAACGCTAAGCTAAAGAACAGGTAAATCTAAACTAACGCTAAAGCTAAATATAAGCTAAATCTAAGCTAAAACTAAGCTAAAGCTAAGCTAAAGCTAAGCTAAAACTAAGCTAAAGCTAAGCTAAAGCTAAGCTAAAGCTAAGCTAAAGCTAAGCTAAAGCTAAGCTAAATCTAAGCTAAAGCTAAGCTAAAGCTAAGCTAAAGCTAAGCTACAGTTAAGCTAAATCTAATCTAAAGCTAAGCTAACGCTAAGCTAAAGCTAAGCTAAAGCTAAGCTGAAGCTAAGCTAAAGCTAAGCTAAAGCTGAGCTAACGCTAAGCTAAAGCTAAGCTAACACTAAGCTAAATCTAAGCTAACACTAAGCTGAAGCTAAGCTAAATCTAAGCTAAAGCTAAGCTAAAGCTAAGCTAACACTAAGCTGAAGCTAAGCTAAAGCTAAGCTAAATCTAAGCTAAAACTAAGCTAAAGCTAAGCTAAAGCTAAGCTAAGGCTAAGCTAAGACTAAGCTAAAGCTAAGCTAACGCTAAGCTGCAGCTAAGCTAAACCTAAGCTAAAGCTAAGCTGAAGCTAAGCTAACACTAAGCTGACGCTAAGCAACAGCTAAGCTAAAGCTAAGCTAACACTAAGCTAAAGCTAAGCTAAAGCTAAGCTAAAGCTAAGCTAAAGCTCAAGCTAAAGCTAAAGCTAAGCTAAAGCTAAAGCTAAGGCTAAAGCTCCCAGGGGACTGGGGGAACCGCGGGGCGGGGACTGGGGGAACCGCCCGGGGCGGTTTCCATTGCCCGGCCCCTTTAGCTAACAGAGTAAGAACCCTTCTAGGCAGAGCCTAGGTAGGGAATAATCCCAAAATAGTCGGATGACTATTTTTTGGTGTATGTTTTACCTTCTAGTGGCATTTTTGGGGATATCTGTTCTGCTTCGTCGACCATCCCCCTGTAGGGGCACAGGCCCGACTTTCCGGATCCGACTTGAATAAGGAACACTTACTTTTCAAAAGGGGCTCGGTCGTTCCTTGGGTCTGCATGCGTTCCGCTACCTTTTTGGCGGCGATCCCCCCTGGTGTTCCTTCGGACTTCGTAGACTTACTTGGAGAAAAAGGGGCCTCGTTCCTCATTTATCGTTCCTTAGGTCAGGCCGAATACTGTAAGAGTAGCCGCGCTGCAGGCGCCCAGCCTGGGGCGCCGGGCCCGGCGCCCGCGGCCTGGCCGCCGTGTCCGCCGGGGGCGCGCCTCCCGGCGCCGCCGGCGGCGGCGGCGGCGCAGCGTGCTCGCCGCGGCGGCCGCGGACGCCGCGGGTGCGGTGCCAGGAGGCGCCCTCCTCACTCAGCGAGCGAAGAACGGTAGAACATAAACTTTTTCGCCGTCGGGGGCGCCTGTCCTAGGGCGGCTGGAGAGTTTATGCCCCTAGGGGTGCCACCGTAGGGGTGTATAAACTCTCCAGCCGCCCAGGGACAGGGGCCCCGACAGCGAAGAAGTTTATGTTATACCGTTCTTCGCCCGTTAACTCACGGGGGCGCAGCGCCTCTCCCAGACCCCCTCGAGCCACGACAAAAGTCACGACGAGCGGTGTGTCGCCAGTGTCGGTCTCTGGGGGGCCCTGATCCCGGGCCCGGGAGCGTCAGAAAACGACTCTGGATGCACAAAACGGTCCTGGGGAAGGGGTCGAGACCTCGGGCGTCGACGTTGTGACAAAATCGTGGCGTCGGGGTTCTGGGATGGGAGCCCAAAATCATGGCGTCGGGGTTCTGGGATGGAAGCCCCCCTGGGGCGCGTGGGCGCGTGGTGTCGGGGAGGTGCCACGCGTGCCGTGCGCTGCGCCCTGGCCCGCACGGAGACCGCGCCCAGGCCCCATCGGCCACGTGCAGAGGAGGGGAGGGATAGGGGGAGGAGGAGGAGGAGGAGGAGGAAGAGGAGGAAGAGGAGGAGGAGGAGGAGGAGGAGGAGGAGGGAAGGCTTCTCAGAAGCACCCCTGGCTCTTGGACGGCGCTGGCCTCTTCTAATCGACGAAAGGCCGGGGCCTGCTGAGAAGCACGGTGCTTCTGAGGAGCCTTCGCCCTTCCCCCTGCCCCCCTTATTGCGCGCCGCCAGCCACGGACCCCCCTGCGCACCCCCTTGGGGGTCGAGACGGCGCCACGCCTCCTCAAGAGTGGGGTGGTGAGGACTGCAGTCAACGCGCAGAGTTGGGATGAGCGAGTGTCCCAAGGTCGCCCTGACAGCCTCGCCCCTTACGCCCACCCCTGGCAGCTTTCGCTGGCCGTCCCCGCTCCCGTGTTGGGCTGCGTGTGGGAAGCTTCTCGTGGTCGAGCTCCTGCTGCACTTCGCTCGTGCCACGACACGGGTGCAGCGCCGGAGGAGAGCGGGCGCGTGCCTGCACGGAGGGGCGACGCGGCCCTCTGCCCGGAGGCGAGGGCCCGACGCACGCGTGGCCACGCGGCGTGCCGGCCTTCCGCGGCCCAGGCACCGCATAATTCAGCTGCAGCCAGCGTGTGGCCGCCGCACGGCTCCGCACGTGGGTCTGGCCACGCCGATCACGGCCTCCCGGAGATGGGCTCGAGTGGCTGCTGCGGATTACCCTGCAGCGGTTCACGCCTTGCCGTGCGTCCCTGCCGCGCGGCCTCTGGCACAGGCTGAAGAGCCGCAGGGGTGAGGTCTCTCCTGCTGACCTTGGTGACCGAGGCCTGGGTTCGAGTGGCTAGGGTCGGAGGATCGCGCCGCACCGCCGACGCGTCACCGAGGCGGCTTGACGTGGAGCCCGAGGTTCTCCACGCCGGCGTCGCCGATGCACCGCCGGCGCTGCCGATGCATCGCCGATGCAGCCACGGTGCGGCGCGATCATCCGACCCCATCTGCTCGGATCCCACGTTGGAGGCCATTAGTGTATTTTCAACTTCTTCCCAGCCCTCAGACGCGACGCTGTGTGTTTCTTTGTCGTAGCGTGGATCCGCAACGTGGACCCCCAGAGGTCTCGACCCGATTCCCCCAGCGCCGCCCTGTCATCTCGTGAGCAATTGTCGTCGACGGCACCTGGGCCCAGAGAATGCCTCCATGTCTGATTTCAGCACACACACACACACCTTTCACTCGCGTCGCGAGGAAGTCGAGGCTGACACTGTCTTGTCCTCCTCCGCCCCATCCTCCAGGAAAGCTCCCCCTCCTCGAGTCCGTAGCCGTTTTGGCTCCGGCTGCCCTGGACGCGCTCGGCCGGCGCGCTGACGCTCACGCCGCGTCCTCCCCGTCCCGTCGGCGCCCATGCAGCGCGGCGTGACTCCGCCGCCGGGGCTCGACGCCGCCACCCCGACGGCCGCTGCCGGCGGCCGTGACCTCGCCACGCCGGCCCGCTCCACCTGCAGCGGCCCTCGGACGCCCGCCGCCGCGCGGGCCGCGGGCCCCGCCGCCGCGCTGCCAGCGGGCGCCGCGCCGCTGGCGGCGCTGGTGGAGCGGTGGAAGGCCGGGGGGCGGATGCGGCTGGGGGACCTCTGGGAGCCCCTGTGGGCCGCGCTGCAGGCGGCCGCCTCGGGCCCCACGCCGCCGCCGCCGGGGGGCGCGCCGGCGGACGCCGCGGAGGTGGCCGTGCGGGCTCCGGCCTCCGCGGCGGGGGCGGTGGACACGGCGGGCCCGGGGCGCGAGGCGGGCGCCCTGGCAAGGCTGCTGTGGGAGGCCATCCTGGCGGCGGGCCGCGCAGCTCCAGGCAGCCGCGACCGAGAGCGGGCGAAGCTGCCGCCAGAGCTCGCGGCGTTGGCGTGCGAGGCGTGCCGCGCCAGGCTGCTTGGCGACGCGAAGAAGCCGTCGCACGCGGCGCTGCGGGTGCTAGCGCACGCGCTGGTGGACCTGGGCGAGCACGCCGAGGAGGTGGCCGCGCCACTGCCCGCGCGCCTGGCGGCGCTGCTTGGCGCTGAGAGTGCGCTGTACACCTGCAGCCTGGTCATGCCGTGCCTGGCGCTGCTGGCGGAGGTGGCGCCCCTGGCGCTTCGCGCGGGGGCGCCCACGGTCGCGGAGGCGGTGATGGTCTCGGCGCACCGCGTGAGTTGCAGCCTTCTTGGGGAGCAGGCGGCCTCCGCGAACACGCTGCGGGACTCGGACAAGCTGCTGCAGTCCCTCGGCCCTGTGCTCCGCGAGGTGAAGGACCACCTGGAGCCCTCAGCGCTGCAGCTGCTCCAGTTGCTGCAGCCCTGCGCAGTGTCTGGGGCCTCCTACGTGGTGCGCGAGAGGCGTGCGGCTGGCGCAGCTGTCGCCAAGCCCACAGGGGGCTATCCACTCTCGGAGACGGAGCGCTCCGAGGCCGAGGCCAGTGCGGGCACTCCGTCGCGCCGGCGGACCGGCACCGGCGCCGTGGAAGACGAGTACACCGTGCAGCAGTCGCTGGCGGCGCAATGCCGCACCGCGGCGCTGCGCAATTTCGCGCAGCTCTTCAGGCTCTTCCCAAAGGCGTTCTTCGGGCGGTGGCCGTTGGTGCTGGACTTTCAGTCTGGCGAGGCCTCGCGGGCCGGCGAGGACGGCGCTGCACCGCTGCCGATCCTGCTGACGATTTGCAGGGAGGACCCTTGGCAGAAGGTGCGCGGCGCCGCGCTCGGCGCGGTGTGCTCGCTGCTCGAGGCGCCGGCGGTCCGGACCTGGCCGGTGCCGCTCGAGCGGGGGGAGTCCAGCGAGGCCGTGTCGCCCAGGCGCGGCGGCGCGCGCGGCAGGGGCCGGGGGGCATCCTCGTTCACGCCGCTGGCGGGGCAGATGGCCACGACCCTGCGGCAGGCGCACGGAGTCGTCCTCGGGCTCCTGGGGGGCCGGGCCGCGGGGGACGCCCAGCTCGCTCTGCGGGCGTGTGCGGACCTGGTGGCGTGCACCCCGTACCCGAAGCTCCGCCCGGGGCTGCTGACGGAGATGGTGCGCGGCGTGGTGCCCTTCCTCGAGGTTCTGTCCACGTCGGCCACGCCCGAGGGGGGCCAGCAGCCCCTGACCGCCGCCCTTGCGGCGCTGGGCGCAGCGCTGAAGCGCGAGGACTGCGCGACGGAGCTGCAGAGTTGCCTCTTCGAGGTGCCAGACAAGGTGCTGCCCCTGGCGCCCCTGCCGAAGCCGTCGCTCTCGGGCGCGGCCAGCTGGCGCTCGCAGCAGGGCGCCGCCTGCAGGGTCCCGCGCCCGCTGGCGGAGGAGCTCGCTGCCCATGCCGTACGCCTTGTGCAGCTGGCGCAGCGGCGTCGGCGCGTTTCGGAGGCCGACGCACCCGTGGCGCTCGAGCTGGCATCGCTTGCTGGCCGTGCGGCGCACTTCAGCCCAGAGGTAATCCCCGTGACCGTGCAGGAGAAGCTGCAGGCGCTCGTGGAGAGCCTGCTTGCGCTCTCCTCTGGGCCGCTGCGCGCGAGGGCCTGCAAGCTGGTGGAGGAGCTGTTGGTTCTGCCCAAGGACGGAATTCTTCAGCCAGGCGAGCGCGTCGCAGTTAAGCTGCCCATGGAGTGGTGCGCCACTATCGCCCACAGGATGATGGCACTCCCGGAGGACACCGCTCCCCACGTGCGAGCCGCAACGTTGACGGCACTGCCGCCCCTGCTGTGGGCCTCGGGCGCAGACGGCGCCGGCAAAGCCGCCGATGCGATTGCGGACCACGCGCTCGCGGCGGTGCGGCTCGGCGCGGGGGACGTGGGCGCCGCGGTGCGCACGACAGCGGCCCAGGCGTGCGGCTCGCTGGCCGGGTGGTGGCTCATGCAGCCCGCTCGGCCGTGGGAGAGGAGCGCCGACGTCTTGGCGCTGCTGGTGAGGCTGCTCTCCGACCCAGCCGCGGACGTGAGGTCCGCTGCCGCGGCCGCGCTGGCCAACATGGCGGTCGCTACCGTGCAGGGCGCGATGGGCGCCCATGATGCCCTGGAGTCTGGCGGCACGGGCTCGTCCGGGTGCCCCGCCGCGAATGCGGCCGAGGGCCAGTGGGTGGAGGCCATCGAGGGTACGCTACTGCTCTGCCAGGACAGCTCGGACAAGGCGCGCTCCTCGGCTCTCCGTGCGCTGGGCTACATTGCGGAGGCCGTGGACCTGCGCGGCGCGCGGCCGCTGCAGAAGCAGGACTCCCTGCTGAGCCGTCTGGCGGGCGGGCTCGCGGGCGCGGTCGGCGCACCTCCGCCGAAGTGCCAGTGGAACGCCTGCAGATCCATGGGCCAGGTGTACCAGTGCTCAAGCTTCCTAGGCGCCCTCGAGTCCTCGCCCTCGAGCCACGCGACCATGCTGGAGGCACTGTGCAGGAGCGTTTCTTCCGCGACCAACCTGAAGGTCCGCATCCAAGCCGCCCAGGCGCTGGCGAATCTGCCGCCCGCCCCGCGCCTGTGGCCGCGGGGCGACGCGGACGCCGTGCTCACCTGCTTGTGCGAGGCGTTGGCCTCTCTTGACCGACCCGTCGGCGAGCAGCCCGTGGAGGAGCGGCAGCGCGCGCAGTACGCCTCGCAGCTGCGCGCAGAGCTGCTCGGCCTGGGCGAGCACTGGGCCGCGTGCGCGCCCGCGGGCGCGCCTGGGCCCGCCGCGCTCGCGGCGGCCGAGGCCGCCGCGCCATCGCTGGCCGCGCTGCTCGACGCCGAGGACGCGCCGGCCCTCACCGCCGAGGCCGCCGCGGCGGAGGGCGCGGAGGCGCCGGCGGGCGAGGCTGCGGCGGCGTGCGGGCCGCGCGGCCGCAATGGGCTGAAGGCCCGGCTGTCGGCGCTGCTCGGCGAGCTGCGGGCCGCGGCGGGGCAGCCGAGCGGGCGTTGGCAGGGCGGCGGCGCGTGACCGCCGCCGGGGCGCTGGGCGCGGGGCGACGCGGGCCCCTCGTGTGGGGCCCGGCGGCTGCTGGCCGCCACGGCGGGGCATCCCTTCGAGATGCTGCCCAGGGTGCGCCCTGGGTGGCCTGCGCCCCGCGCCTCTGCGAGGGGCCGTGTGGGAGGCGGCCCGCGCCGCGGGGACTTGGTGGGTCTGTGTTCCACCGCCGCCACCAGAAGTACATCCTCCTCCTCGTTCTCCTCCTCCTCCTCCTCCTCCCTCCTCCTCCTACTCCTCCTCCTTTCTCCTCGTTCTCCTCCTCCTCTCTCCTCTCCTCCCCCTCCTCCCCCCCTCCTCCCCCCCCTCCTCTCCTCCTCCTCCTCCTCCTCCTCCTCCTCCTCCTCCTCCTCCTCCTCCTCCTCCTCCTCCACCTCCTGCCCCCGTCCAACTTGTGGTGGTGGTGGTGCTGGACAGCAGGCCCATCAGAACTCATCCTCATCCTCCAGCTCCGCTTCTTCGAGTCGCCGTGGCCGAGAGGCGGGTTCCCAGAGATAGACGGGCCCCAGGCGGTTCCGAGGCCTTCCCTGAGGAGCAGCGCTACATTGTCCTGACCGGCCTCGTTTGACGGTCCCCTGGGGCGTCTGGAGGGCACCAATGGCGCGAGAGCGGCGCAGGACTTGGGACCCGTTCCTGAAGATCCGATATTTCTGCTTTTTCGTTTCGATCCCAGATCCGCTCAAGCAATGACAGCAATCATGACGTGTTTTTTGTTTGCATTTTGGCCCTTCGGGACCATCAAAAAGAGACTCAGGATGAAAAACCGTTTCTGGGGATTGGGTCGAGACGAGACCTCGGGGGCTCGATGTTCAAAAATCGTGTCGTCGGGGGTCTGGGAAATGGTGACCCATTCCTCAAGATTCGATTTTTTTTTCATGTTTTGCCTTGTGTGTTTCAATACGAGGTCTCCCAGAAGTCACGACTTCACCCATGGAGCCATTGTCTCGCCGTCCTTGGGCCCGTCGAGGGCTCCTGGAGGCCGAACACGAGAAACAAACAGAGCATCCTGATGCCTGTCAGGACGCTGGACGTCTGGGTCTAGTGGATGGACGTTCGAAGCTTGTTGTTGCCTTCCCTCTGCGGGGTGACCTAAGAATCGGCGCCCCCCCAAAAAAACATACTTATATACTGTGTGTGCGTCTCCCCCCCAGTGGCGACGCGCGCACCGAGACATCTCAAAGTGTATGCCTCGTGGCGGGCACTTTCTGGCCACACCGCTCGGGAAACGACATACTACAAGATGGGTATACTACACGTTCGGGTCGGACGCGCACCTCCAAGGAGGGTATGTAGTACTAGTGTTAAGTCGGGCCTGTCCCTCTACAGGGGGAAAATTTAAACACAGTGAAACATAGTCGGTGGACGATGTTTTGACTAATTTGGATCTTGTGTGGGCCCTTTACGACGACGAGGAGGACGGGGAGGAGGAGGAGGAGGAGGAGGAGGAGGAGGAGGAGGAGGAGAAGGACGACGAGGAGGGGGAGGAGGAGGAGGAAGAGAAGTAGGAGGAGGAGGAGGAGGAGGAGGAGGAGGAGGAGGAGGAGGCGGAAGAGGAGGAGGGGAGGAGGAGGAGGAGGAGGAGTGAGGAGGAGGAGGAGGAGAATGTCCCTGTGAGCCGAGTTGGCCAGCCACCGACCTTTCGATCAAGTGCCCCGGCGTTGCCGAGGCCGCTGCGGCTCGACCTTGCCCTGGCCCCAGGGAGAGAGAGAAGAGAGAGAGAGAGAGAGAGAGAGAGAGAGAGACGGAAGGAGGAAGGAGGAAGGAGGAGGGAGGGAAGGGAGGGAGGGAGGGGGGGAGGGAGGGAGGGAGGGAGGGAGGGAGGGAGGGAGGAGGGAGGAGGGAGGAGGGAGGAGGGAGGAGGGAGGAGGGAGGAGGGAGGAGGGGGAGGGAGGAGGGAGGAGGGAGGAGGAGGAGGAGGAGGGAGGAGGGAGGGAGGAGGGAGGAGGGAGGGGGAGGAGGGAGGAGGAGGAGGAGGAGGAGGAGGATGGGAGGGAGGAGGAGGAGGTAGGAGGAGGAGGAGGAGAGGATGAGGAGGAGGAGGAGGAGGAGGAGGAGGAGGGGAGGAGGAGGAGGAGGAGGAGGAGGAGGAAGGAGAGGAGGAGGAGGAGGAGGAGGAGGAGGAGGAGGAGGGGAGGGAGGAGGAGGAGGAGGAGGGAGGGGAGGGAGGGAGGGAGGGGAGGGAGGGAGGGAGGGAGGGAGGAGGGAGGGAAGGGAGGGAGGGGGGAGGGATGAAGAGGACGAGGAGGAGGAGGATGAGGAGGAGGAGGAGGAAGAGGAGGAGGAGTAGAATGAGGAGGAGGATGAGGAGGAGGGGGAGGATGAGGAGGACGAGGGGGAGGAAGAGGAGGAAGAGGAGGAGGAGGAGGAGGAGGAGGAGGAGGAGGAGCAAGAGGAGGAGTTCTGGAGTTCTGGGTATGGCGACAGTGTCGGTTACGATGGAAGCAGCTATGTACCCTGCTGCTTCTTTCTGGCCGGTTCGGCTTTACTACGAACCTTCGGCCAGAGCCCACGGGTGATTCGATCCAGGCACTCACGACGGTTGCCATTGACGGCATCGCGACATACTGCACCTAGCTGTCTCAGTTGCTCTGACGCAAAACAGCCACACGCAGTACAAAACCAGATGCCCAACCCCGAATGAAATCTGATGACGTGCGACAAGTGAGCATATCCCCCCGAGATGTGCACCCGCATGCCTGGGGGGGGTCGCCTTATAATGCCGTCCACGTTAATTAAGGAAAAACAAGGTGAGGTCAGCCACTCGGTTTTACGAGCATGGGAAGCAAAACCCTGACACCTGGAACAGCTCCTGGAGTTTTCCTTGAGACAATGCTGGGTCGAAAACATGGCACACACGCTGGCCGCTGGGGGCCGAACCACAGAAGAGGCATTCTGCTGACGCCTACGCCTGCGCCTACCCCCCTCGGCGGCCTCGAGTCTTTCCTCGGCATGGAGGGCCTCAAGAGTGCTCTGGAGGATACGCATACGAACTGCGAAAGCCTGTTGCTCTGCTAAATGGATGCGTGCACGTGTCGACTCAGGCAGGCGGCCCATATCGGCCCCTGCGGCTGCGAAGCAGTCGGCAAATGTATTTCCGATCACTAAATTGCGGGGGGCGATTCCTTTTACAATGTGTTCACTCTCGAGGTGAGAGTGAACAAAAAGGACTGAGCAATACACTTCATCCCCCCGCTGCTGCAAAATCTGACCTACCGTCCACCACAAGTCTGCGTCAGGCCCTGACGGGTGCAGCCAACGCCTCTGATGCCAACCTGATGCCACGGTGTCGTTGTCCGTAACATATGCTATCTGACCAGACGCATGACGGAACGAGAAAACTAAACAGTAGAGCTCACCTCTGGCCACGGTCTGCCTGGTGCCTGGGAGGGGGCTCCAAAGACCTAGGGTCAAACTCATGCTGCTGACGTCCTGGAATACAGCTAATCCAAGGCCTACTCTGCGCAGCAGAGGGGAATGGGTGTCGGGACCCCCACTAGCATCCCCGAAAATAAAGACTGGCCTACCTCTAGAGCTCTGAGCCGCTACCCCGAAGTCGAGGTTGTTGGACATAACCCACTGCTCAGCCTCTGGAGGGGCCTCTACCTGCAGCCAAGACCTAGGAATCAAGCCTCGAGTCCAATAGCATTCCTCGGACTCAGCTTGCACATACGCTTTGGCTACTAAATCTTCGCTAAGCTTGTACACAGGGTGCTCCGATCTACTGCTGCACCCCCACACTCGATGGAAACTAGTCTCTGGAACGAGGCGGCAACGCGGGCATTTCACATCGAGCGTCTGCCGACATCTTGCCTGCCTCCTCGTGCGCGGCCACGCCGCGCCCGCAGCCGCGGCGAGAAGCAGCCCCGCAAGCCGCCTGCCGCCTGGCGCCAGCTCCAGCTGCTGCAGCAGGTGGCGGTAGGAGTGGTTGCACACCCCCTGCTCCATGCCCGCGCCGCCGAAGTGCCGCGCCGCTGCCTCCCACGAGCGTGCCTCGATGGTCGTGCGGAACTCGGCGAAGAAACTCTCGGGCACGTCCAGCACGGGGTGACCAGTCATGCTAGACTCGTTGAACTGCCACTCGGAATTGCCGTCTGGTGTGGTCCACACGTTCGGCGCCTCGGGCTTCCAACCCGCGTCGAGGAGGTGCGCAATCGTCGTGCCTTGAGGCCCACGTATGTGACGACAGCGAACAGCAGGAGGTAGCGCCGAGAAATCAGCAACCAAGTCCGTCCATGTTCGTGAAATACCTGCTCTCAACGCCGGTTGTGAACTCCACATGGCAAGCCACATTCTCAACGTATCGCATGGCAACTTGTACTGAGGGTCGCGGTCGGCAGCCTTCAAGTCCAGTACAGTGGTCAAGCAGCGGCCTGTGAGGCGTGGTGCGACCGCGTTGGCAAGCTTCCTCCTGACCTGCTGCATCTGACCTCCCCAAACTCCATGCAAGTGATGCCCGTGCAGCCCTGCTGGTTGGGCTCCTTGAAGCTCCAGGCGTGCTGGCACACGGTAGCGGCGCAGCGCTCGAGCGAAACCCACGATCTTCTTGGACATGGCCGCGTGCTTCTGGGATCTCGCTCGTCGCGTGGCCCGTCCGTGACGCCTGCCCCCTGCGAGGTCGGCGCCCAGGTAGGCAGCCTGGCTGGCCGCCTTCAGCTGGAAGCCACGAACAGCGACTCGACGCACCACCGACCTCGC